AATGACTCACTCTAGCCTTAGGCAAATTACTTTAAACACTCTGCCTTGATTTCTACATTTGTAAAATGGAGTTTATCACATAGACATGCATACTCCATGGGGCTGTTGAACACTAATTAGTGAATGTCAAGTGTTAAGTACTAGTAAACTGCTTACAGTACTCTGAAGGGAGAGGAGAATTGATAGTGTAGTAGAAGGGAAATGAAAGAAGGGATTAGTGTCAGATAGGAACAAAATGCTTTGTCAAGACAGGATTTACCTAGCAGGTTGCAGGGAAGGTGGAAACTGAAGAAGCTAAGGAATATAGGCAATGAGCAGATCTGAAACTAAACACAACAGTGGAATTCATACAACAGTAACAGCTTTCCTTGAAATATTATTAGGAACCATGAAGTAGGGATGTTAAATGGAGTTTAATCAGTTAATTGATTAGTCAGTGGAATTTTCATTGACTAGTTGATAAGGCTGGAGGAGAATTGCAGAGCTGTAGAGGGGTTAGCTCCCAGATCCAGGAGCTAACCCTGCTGCGACTCTGCCTTTTAAATGTATTAAGAGCTGTTAGACTCTTAATACATTTAAAAGACTGAAGAGCAGGGGGGAGTACCAGGCTCTATGTTTGCAGGGCATAATTTTTGTTATGTTAAACTCATTACACTTTCAATATGATTTCCAGGTCCTTCACTACGCCTCTGCCTCTACCGCCCCCCGCGGAGATGGTGCTGGAGGGAACCAGCTTTTAAGCCGATTCCCCACAGCGCTGGCTCCTGCTCCCCATTCCTTGCTGCCTCGTTCTGAAAAAGTCTGCAAGAGGGGAAGCGACTAGTCGAGTCACTAGTTGACTATCAGATAAGGATATGCTTATCGGATAGTCGACTAGTCACTTACATCCCTACCATAACATCACCATAAAGCAAACATAATACAAGTGACAGAGTACATACCAATAAAAGCTTAAAAAACGAGTGGTCCTGCAGCACCTTCGAGACTAACAAAAATACAGATTTATCAGAAGCTTTCATGGGCAGAACCCACTTCTTCAGATGACAGACATCTGAAGAAGTGGGTTGTGCCCACGAAAGCTCCTGATACAATCTATATTTTTGTTAGTGTCTAAGGTGCTACGGGACCACTCATTTTTTTTAAGTTACAGACTAACGCCCATCTGAGAGTACATACCAGTGGATCTGCTGGTTTCTGCTTACAAAGTTCAGTGAGACCAGCTAGTAGCGTAGGATTGACATATAGGTTCAGGTAATCCTTAGCAGCTTGTCCAACTGGAATTGGCTCAATAATCACTGGAAAGAATATCCATGTGAGCTGAATTAATGCAGAACAATTTACTTATAGTGTTAAATCACTTTCCTTCAAATGTTTAATAAACTGGTTGTATTTTCCTTGTAATTGATAATACCATTTGTATGGCTTCTCTGCAAGACATATATCAGGGATTGGCAACCAGGAACCGTGAGTGGGCCACGTGAGTGCCTCTCCTTCACCTCAGTGGGCTGCAGCAGTCTGCGGCCCATGGGGGTTCCACTCAGGAGTGGCCTGAGGCAGGCTGCAGCAGCTGGCACCCTAGGTGGAAGGCGCGACCGGCACCCCTGCTTGTATGGCCGTCAATGGCCGTGATGTCATCATCGGGCACCCAGGCCGGTGGCGCTCTAGGCAACTCTCTGGTTTGCCTAGGCTCACGGGCCGCCGCTGGTTCTACCTACAGCCCTACAGCTCCCCTACCTGCCCTCCTTCCCCCAAGAGCCTCTTGCACACTGGGGCACCAGAGCCCCACTCTTACATGCTCCTTCCCTGCCCTCCCAGCACTTTTGGAGCACATGAATCACCTGATTTGCACTCTGGCTCCACTCCTCACCCTTCTTCTCAGAGCTGGAACACTGCAAACAGCTCACAGTGTTCCAGCTCTGTGAGGGAGGAAGAGGAGTGGGGACAAAGCATGAACCTGTCAATTTGCAGCTCCTCTGAAAGTGGAGGGAGTAAGGGGAAAAACAGGAAAGTGAATGGCTCCAGTGCCCTGGTGTGTGAGAGGTGTGGGGGGAGGAGGGAAGCCAAGGGGTCCGCGAGCCACAGTGGACCGAAGGTGGCTCACAGGCTGAACGATGCCCACTAACATACACCATGGCATAGAACTACTGTAGTGTGTTGCTCCCAAAGCAATTCTAAGAAGGATGAAGCTCCTGGATACTATGTCTGTGGTGATCGTACACTAGTGGTGTTTGGTCCCGGGAAAGAAAAACACCCTAATAGCAGGTTGGGGCAATTTGGGGGAGAGGAAGATCTAAGACCAATTGAGGACCTACCTGCTTCACTGAATATTTATTGGGCAAAGAAGAGCCCATTGGGAGCTACTTCTCCAATGTCCCCCCACTGCTGTGGAGTTGATTCTTGTAACCCTGAAGAACCTACATCAGATATTGCATTTTTATTGTGGGACAAAGGCCAGGAGGCATAATGGTTTAAATGGGATATGAAGAGAGAAAATGCATCATCTTCAGGGGAAAGGCAAACTAACATTCATACTAAATAAAGACCTGCAACAAGCTTTGAGACAGGTTTTTAAGTTGTTTGAATTCTATTTAAACATACCTCCAAACTCAGGACCACATGCTACTCCACTCTGGTTTTCTGGCAGAGTGGCTATGAAACTCCATGAGTATTTAATAATAGATTTGCCTTAGAATCATTCCCTTGAAAATTATGTCATCTTTCCCCTAAACCTATGGAACATGCAAATGCCTTTGTCCATACCCATTAGAACTTGGCTCCTGAACTGTACTGCTCTGTAATCCTCCATCAGTAGATGAACATGAATCCCCGTAACCCAATCTCAGATCAACAGTAGCTCTAGGGCAGATTTTCACTTGGAAAGCCATTCTACTTCCAGTGAAACATGCTGAAATGAAGTAGCTTCATGATCCCTCCCATTCCTTGAATTTGCCTGTCCCAATTCCAGTGCCATAAAGGGGCATTTGCAGTATCTGTGAGGCAGAAGGGAAATTAATTCCAAACCACTGCAATTTGGGTAGCTCTTAAAATAGATTTTGCTATTTTCTGCTCCACATGGTACAGCAGCTCAGCCATAGTGTAGTTAGTCAATTCTAAACATTTTTCAAACCTTCTTTCTGAGCCTTGGTTCTATATTGAATGTTTGGCTACAAACAGGTAATGGTAAGAATAGGGATGGGGCCACATACCACCAAAGATGATTTGCAGTTTAAAGGCAAATAATAACTCAGTACCTTCAGGAAACATGAATCTAATTTCTCTTTCTGCTGAAGAAAATTTGATACTGCCATGAACTGCATTCCTCAGATCGTCTGTCCCATAGATTGCTCTTAAACTAAAAGCAACAGAGAGAAGTGTTGGATGGTTCTCTCAGATTAAGGTTGTGGAATCCCATTTAAAAAGTTAACCAGTTAAACGGTATGTTTAACTACTTAACCAGGATTCCATGGTGGGGGACTGCTCCAGCCTGGGGGACCACCATGCCGCAGGCCGGACTGGCTGCTTGGGCCAGGCCCATCACGCTGTGCCACTGGCGAGGGGCTGCTCTGGGCAAGCCAGGCCAAATCTGCCACATTGTTGCAACAGGTGGCTGCTCCAGCCTGGCTGGGCCATCTGCAATGTGCGCTGCTCCAGCCAGGATGGGCTCAGCCCACTGCAACATGCCACAGGTGGAGGGCTGCTCCGGCTGGGTCGGGCAGGGCCCACCACACCACGCTGTGGGTACTGCTCTGGCCAAGCCAGGCTGCCAATTAACTATTTAATCCAGTAAGAATGCCAGTAAGGCAAATGCTTTACTGGTTAACCAGTTAACCCGTTACATCCCTATCTCAGGCTATGTCTAGACTGCAGGCTTCTTTCGAAAGAAGCTTTTCCAGAAGAGATCTTCTGAAGAACCTTCTTCTGAAAGAGAGCGTCTAGACAGCAAAAGCGCATCGAAAAAGCGTTCTGCTTTTTCAAAAGGTAGCGTCCACACTGAATGGAGGCTATCTTGCATCTAAGCTGTGATTACTATGGACGGAGTGCCACCAGGGTAACTGTGCTTTATCCCCTTTCCTCTTCTTTCAAAAGAACTCCCTCTTCCCCATCTACACACATCTTTTTCCAAAAAAGCTCTTTCGGAAAAAGGCGTTCTTCCTTGTAAAAAGAGGAATACTGTTGTTGGAAAAACCTTTCTGTTCTTTTGACTTTTTCCCAAAAGAATGCAATTGCAGTGTGGAAAATTCCAAAAAACCCTCTGCAGTATAGACATATCCTCAGATACCTACAACGTATTTACTTTCTCACTAAGATTGTAATAAATACAAAAAGTTAGATCGAATTAACACAATTTTTTTCTTTTTTCTGCCATAATTTCAAAATGTAAAGGATTGGCCCCAACTTTTATTAATTTTGTACAGTAAAGGTAAAATCCTCACCCTAGCGAAGTCAGTGGCAAAAATCCCACTGACTTCAGTGAAGCCACAATTTGACCCTAAATCTCTTCTTTGGTAATTTACCTGTCAGGATGTGTTTCCTTAGCTCTTATGCTATTTGATGGTCCAATCAACTCTTTCCAGAAAGCGATAGCATTATGTCTGGCAAGAACCATAGCAACTAAAGGCCCAGAACTCATATACGCTGTTAAATTAGGAAAAAACATTTTGCCATATTGTTCTGCATAAAAGTTACTGCATTGCTCTGGGCTTAATTGGAGCTTTCGTTTCTAAAAAAGAAAGAAAAAGTAAGCATCTATTTTAATCATATATTGTATGAATTGTAAACATATATTGTACTGGATGAAAAACACATAGATTTGCGTTAAAATGCTATATTACAGAATTTATATTTTCTAGCACTTGCAATGAATTATAACTCTTCACTTTCTTACATTAAGTGATTCATCAGCAGCCATTATGTCTTCACTAAAACATGCTGAAAAGTGACAAAATGGTATTGTGGGTCTCCTGTTTGTGTCTTAGTAGTTTCCACACAGAATCTGAGAAACATAAAAGTAAACATACAAATTCTTTTACTAACTGCCAACCCTACAAGCTCAACTGGCCTCTAAAAGACAAGTTACTATCTGAGACAGAAAAAACATAATAAATATTCTGCAAATGGACGTGTCAATTTCTGGTGATCATGTACAACTGGCATAGAATTCAGCTAATTCTCCCAGAGATGAATTGGTTATGCAGTGTTTACAGTAAATTAAAAAGATATAAATCAGAATACAACAAAAAGCAGGTCATCTCAGTAAGAAGATGCCATTTTTGTCAATTTTCTAACAATAAACATACTATAGCATTTTTAAATTGATGTTTGACTTAATGCACTATTATTATTATAAAAAGAAGCTGAATGCATTATCAGTAGTCTGTGACTTAATTATTCAGTTCACCAGTACTATTTTGCACTTTTATGCAATCTTCACTTCCTCCAAAACCACTAACTGAAGAGCCATTGTATTTTTCATCCAAAGATATACATTTGAATGTATTAAATTTAATTAAATTAAACAACTAACTAGGTTGCAAGTATCAATTATCAGTAGCAGATTTTCAGTGGGGACAGAGTAAGCCTACATCATTCACCAAAGAAAGAAAGCAAAAAGAAATTAAAGGAAAATTAGTTCCCTTTTGAGTCCAACCCTCTGAGATACTCACCACCTTCAATGACTATTGACTTTAATATTGAAGTCCCTGGGCACCCAGCAGGAACTTTAAGCACCATACACTACCAAGTCTCAGATTTTATTTTGGTGAAATTTGATGCATTATATGTAAAGCAAATAAATATATGTTTGGAAAAAAATGATTGATGTGCTAAAAATGATATGTACAAATATTATTATTTAAAAAAATATGAAAGTAAAGCTTTCCAGTCCTTATTCCATCAAAAGTCCACAGTACAATATACTCTTTTAGTAGCTGAAATATAATGGGCTGAGAAGGAACATTCCATTTGAGCAGAATAAAAGGGTTTACTTGTCTATCAAGCTACTTTCTGAAAAGCTCAACTTAGGTTTCTGAACTGCTACCTCTAAATCACAAAATAATTGACCACAGCTGCATAATGGTGACATCTAGTGGCCAATTCCTAAAATCCAATGAACAGCGATTAAGCCAGTGATACCCAAACCTTTCAAGCCTGAGGGATGCACATATTAATTTGGAGGTCATAGCCCATACTTTGGGGCACATCGTTGCCCCATTTTGCTTCTTTTGCAGCAAAAAAGGAACAAATGCTTTGTACAAGTCTGC